GTTTAAAGATTAACTCATATCTCTTGATAGGATCGTCAGAAAGGACTAAAAATTTGGTTTTAACCATAACTTTTTACGCTCTATCGAATGGGCAGGCTCATTTCAAAATCAAAATTTTGCCGTATGCAGGCTAGGTCGTTGCTCTCATGGAACGTCTCTTAAATGAAGAAAATATTTTCTTATTTTACACAAAGTGTAATACTGATAATAGTGATTTTCTTCTTAGTCAAGTATTTGGCATTTTGGATACATCTATTTCTCGTCATTTTAATCAGTCCATTGAAGATATTTTTAATAGCTTAGTTTCGGATCAAATGGGTCCCACCACATGGGACAGAAAAAATATCGATATGCATACACCAATGTTTGCAAAAGAATTATTGCAAGTCAATGTTCAAAATATTGTTATTTGTATGGATAGTTTTCCTATATACATCGAAAAACCTGGTGACTTTACATTACAAAAATTAACATGGTCATCACAAACTTTACGCAATTGCATTAAATTCCACTGTATCACAACTTTAGATGGCACATTTGTTGGTATACAAGGTGGTTATGGTGCAACAGGCCATAATAATGAAGAAAGTATTATTAATTCGTTAACAAATGATAAATATGCAGTTAATAATGATGATGATGATAATATTTATCATAATCATATGGCTCAAACTTTTTTTTTCAAAAAGATTTTAAAAAATAATGATATTTTAATACTCGACCGAGGTTACACAAGAATGAACAAAAGACAATACCAAATAAAAATACCACCGTCAATTGATAAAGGCAAAACCCAACTGTCAACAAAACAAGCCAATGAGTTACGATTAGTTACATGTATGTTTTTGTTTTGTAAAAATTACTTTTCTGAAATAAAATTATGCGTCTTTATTTGAATGGTTTTTTGTTATAGTTCATCGAAATGTTGTTGAACGCGCCATAGGGCGTTTGAAAAAATGGAATCTTTTGAAAAATAGAGTGGTGCATCAATATGTGGTCAAATTAGATAAATTAGTTTCGATTTTAGCTTCTACAATTAACAAGTTCGATGAACCATTGTACAAAAATTTTTCAAAAAAAAAATAAACACGTTAAATTAATATTGGAACATATCAATGACTCTGAAAATGAATTAAAATATCTAATGGATAAAAATCAAAATAATTATTGGCAATTGACAGCAAAAAATTTAAAAGAAATTATTGATTTCGTAACTAATACAAATTACTTACCAAAATATACACCATCAAAAATTGAATCAATTTCGACAGGTTGTTATGCTATGAAATTATCGAAGCGATATTTTACTAATTCTATCGATCATATGAAGATTTATGAACATCAATCTATTGAAAATTGTATTAAAGTTGTTGGCATTAATTCAAGATTGTCTTCCGGCATAAAGCATTGTTCAATATTTAAATTTTATCTTAGAAAACCTGAAGATACAAAATTTTATTGTTCTTGTAAAAGTGGTGCACGAACAACTAATCCATGTGCACATGCTTTATCTGTCTTGATGTTAATTCAATCCATTCAAAAGGAATTACCTCATCTTGAATTAGCAAAAACCACCATTGATTATCCAGATGCTATTAAAAACGAACATTCTTCATCACATTATCAAGCTATTTATAATAATATAATAGACTGTAAAATTTACAAAGAATGGTCAAAGTCTAACGATACATACTGTATTTGTAATGAATCTTATCAAAGTGATTGGATGGCAAAATGTTGTACTTGCCATGAATTATATCATCCTAGTTGTATTTGTCAAGATCAAGAAAAGATTGACGCAATTATTGATAAGTGGAAATGTCCATACTGCCAAGAAGATGATGATAACAAATAATAAAAAATGGTTCTTTTTGTAGTCTCTTAGTCGTATAAGTTATTATTTAGGATTTCTCATAATTTTATTTATACCTTTTCGAAAACAAAAAATAAAATAAAAATTTGTTGATTTGTTCACTATCAGATCGAGAAATAATCTTCTTCTTTTTGTTTTATAGTGATATGTCAAAACTTGAAATAACTTCGAAAAACATCCTAGTATAATTTAGTAGTGCGATGAAGAAACAACTGGAAAGAGTAAGAAGACTTTCATAAGATATTGGTGGATACGTTTACGAATTTTTAGAAAGAATAGAAGGTACAGAATTTTTCTTACGTTCTATAGTTTGCATTAGAGAAAAAATTTTAAAGGAAAATGTGAAAATCTTCGCATAGTTGGAAAATATGTACTCTTCAACATATGGAAATCACACATTCATCTAACAATTCAGTCAGATAGATGTTGTAGAATTATATACTCTAATGTATTAATAAATCAAGCCATTTTAAAAATACTTAGTCTGCCAAAAGAGTAGAAATACGTACAATATTAAAAGCTTCCAATATTCTACTCAAATTTCTGCCATCATCTTTCAAAAAGTTTGAACCGCTGTGCAAGTGAACATTAGTCTTTCTTTGAATTTTTGTATTTATTTGATAGATTATGTGAAGCTATATTATTGGTAAAAATTTCAGTATTCAAATAAAAACTATTGCAAAACTATAGGAAAAACAATCTTTGTCATGCACTGCAAAACAGCAATTTCTTTTAAAAAATGTTTACATAATCTGGTCCTCATTAGAAAAGCAATTAATTAAGATAATTTTTATTTTATTTTATAGATAGACATGACCTATATATGTAGTAAAATTTTGGTGACAATTGGTGCAGCTATAGAGGAGATATCGATAATACTATTAGGGTAGGGTCAGTAATTTTTCAAAAATGATCCTAACCCTTGAGCATTAATTTTTTCCCTAAAACTAGAAATGTCCAAGGTTTGATTGATTGATCTAATATCCTCACATGAGTCCCAATCAAAAACTATTTAAAAGAAAAAAAAACCGACCGGGNGCAACGGCTCTTTTTCAAATCAAACAAAATACTCGGTTGATTCTAGTTCAGATTCTGTAGCTGTTGGTGATTTCAACAACGACAACCAACTGGACATCGTTGTTGCGAACCGGGGTACTAGTGATGTAAGTGTTCTTCTTGGATATGGTAACGGCTCTTTTTCAAATCAAACACAATACTCGGTTGGTTCTGCTCCAGAGTCAGTAGCTGTTGGTGATTTCAACAACGACAACCAACTGGACATCGTTGTCGTGAACCGGTTCAATAGAAGTGTGAGTATCCTTCTTGGATATGGTAACGGCTCTTTTTCAAATCAAACACAGTACTTGGTTGGTCCTGCTCCATATTCTGTAGCTGTTGGTGATTTCAATAACGACAACCAACTGGACATCGTTGTTGCGAACTCGAATAATTCTACTGTGAGTATTCTTCTTGGATATGGTAATGGCTCTTTTTCAAATCAAACACAGTACTTGGTTGGTACTGCCCCAGAGTCGGTAGCTGTTGGTGACTTCGACAACGACAACCAACTGGACATCGTTGTCGCGAACTGGGGTACTAGTGATGTAAGTGTTCTTCTTGGAAATGGTTATGGCTCTTTTTTCAAACAAACGAAATACCCGGTGGGCTCTTTCCCGCAATCCGTTGCTGTTGGTGACTTCGACAACGACAACCAACTTGACATCGTTGTCGCGAACTATGTCAATGGTAGTGTGAGTATCCTTCTTGGATATGGTAACGGATCTTTTTCAAATCAAAAATTGTACAAAGCTGGCTTGACTCTACGTTCGGTAGTTGTTGGGTATTTCAACAGCGACAATCGATTGGACATAGTCGTCACCAATGAAAACACCCAATCTTTGAGTATATTATTGCAATATAATAGAGGATTTTTAGGAAGACAAAAGACCTATGTGATAGGCAGTGGTTCTCAACTAAAGTATGCTGTTACTAATGATATAGATAAAGATGATGCACTTGATTTTATCGTTGCCAATTATGGTAGTAGTAATATTGTGATCGCTTTTGGAGATGGAAGAGGTAATTTTCCTATCGAAATATCAATGGACACAGGCTCTAATTCTCGTCCGTCGGCTATTGCAGTAGATGACTTCAATGGAGATACTCAGCTAGATATTGCTGTAGCGTACGCGGGAACCCATACTACTGAAATTTGGCTCGGAAATGGCAACAGATCATATCAGCGACAATCAACTGGTGCATTTACTTTTAATTCTTCTGTTATCGCTATGATTTCTGGTGATCTTAATAATGATCGACAGTCTGAAATTATTATTGCATATCAGAAGAGCGATTATGTGAATATCCTTGCTGCATTTCGTTCTCCCTCGTTTGTTCGTCAAGATACTCCTCCGCTTGGCTTTCCGGTATCATCTGTAGATGTTGGTGATTTCAATAATGACAGCCAACTGGACATAGTTGTCACGAACTTGCGAAGTAGCGCTGTGGAAGTCCTTCTTGGATATGGTAACGGCTCTTTTTCAAATCAAACAAAGTACTTGGTTGGTTCTCGTCCATATTCTGTAGCTGTTGGTGACTTCAATAACGACAACCAATTGGACATCGTTGTTGCGAACTCGAATAATTCTACTGTGAGTATCCTTCTTGGATATGGTAACGGCTCTTTTTCAAATCAAACACAGTACTTGGTTGGTTCTGTTCCATATTCTGTAGCTGTTGGTGATTTCAACAACGACAATCAACTGGACATCGTTGTTGCGAACCGGGATACTAGTGATGTAAGTGTTCTTCTTGGATATGGTAACGGCTCTTTTTCAAATCAAACACAATACTCGGTTGGTTCTGCTCCAGAGTCAGTAGCTGTTGGTGACTTCAACAACGACAACCAACTGGACATC